GAATTCATGCTATGCCCGACATGTGAGCACGCATAGGGCCTCTCCACACCGCCGGGTGTCGCGTTTCGGCGCGTGCTGTGCGTCAACGTACCGTGGAAACCGCATAGCGTCCGCCACGCTACGTGAAAGTGCAACAGAGCGAGAGAGAGAGAGAGAGAGAGAGAAAGGGAGACATGATTATTTTACTTTGTGAACCTTAGAAGAAAGAACGAAATGCCTGTAACCCTTAATTAGTCGCGTAATCTCCAATTATTAGCTTACAAGATCGTAAATTCTTTCTTTAATGATATAAATTCGAGGAAGTAAACCATTGAAAATTTATCATATGAAATTAAAGCAAGGAACATGTAAGATAAGTAAGTTAGTCGTATATAATTTTTATCGATCGCGAATATATTTTTTTTTTTTTTTCACCTAGAAAAACTTTTTAATCTCCTTTTCTAGGTAACTATTTTTAAAAGAGTATTCCAAACTTTATCTAGAGCAGAAAATGGAAAAAAATGAGACGAACACTTCTCGTGCTAATTTAATACGAATAAGCGATATATCTTGGATATCTTCGCAAACTTAAGAATTCAAAAATTTGTGTTTACGAGGACGACACGGTATTGATCGCGTTGTTAAAAACATAACGTAGCTCGTGGTAGCGATGTAACTTCGCGATAAGCCCGTGAGACAGGGAAACGACACAACCGTATCGATTCGTTTTTTTTTTTTTTTTTTTTTTTTTTTTTTTCATTATGTCCAGTGTATGTAAGAAGACACATGCGCGACCGATGTAAGACCTACAGAACGATATCGAGGTTGAGGAAAAGCGACATTAATTATGCGAGGCGTGTTTACATTTATTAGATGCATCGGATTCTTGAATTTCGAAATTTCCACATTTTGTTATTTTTCGTCATAAAATGCAGAAATATCTTAATATTTAATTTACTTAATTTTCTTTATCTAATTTAATTTATAAATATGCTTTTGTATATGATTTAATTCAATTTAAATCCAGAAATTACCTTATCTTAGATCTAAGAATTTATTTACTAAAAATTTAAAATTTAAATCCTCTGAACTCAGAAAATACGAATTGTTTTAAATTCCAAACAACTAGAACTCCTTATTATTTTTAGCCCTCGCTTGAAAAAATTTTTTAAGGCTCATAAATGTGCGTGGAAAGTTACGTAAGTCGAATAAGAACTTTATCATCGCGATATGAATGTGAATCATTGAGTTACTTTAGAAATATAGGATACATTTGGCGAAAGTAAATACAAAGGTATGAGGAGCCTCGCGACTAATGCACCTGACCCTCTCATGTGACGATCGATAGCGACGACGATGGTGAATGCAATTAAACGCAAATGACATCCAGCACACGTTGTAGTCATTACTAGATGAATTCGTGCACGAACAACAATAGCGGCGTCATAATAAAGGCAATTTATAAAAGCGCAACGTTAGGTTTGTCGATTGACCGCCGATTTTAACGGCTATGAGCGAATTATTTCCAGTTTGTTTGAAGCTTCTCGGAAAACGTTCAAATTACGTTACATGTACTGTTCCTCAAGGAACTTATTTTCCGAGTAATATCCTGCAAAATAGGTTAAATTTTTTTCGCTTTTCTCCTCGTATCTCTTTTAGATAATTTATATTTTGATTTTAATTTATGAATCTAATTTCTTGTATCTTAATTTGGCTCATTAATATTAATAATTATTTATATTCTCAATTTTAATTTGTCAATTTTATTCTAATTTCTGGAGACACACTAATATTAATAAAATTTCTTTTTAAATAGAAATTTTATTAATTTTATTAATAATAATTAAATAATAATTTAATAATTCAAATAAGATTTTTTTTTAAATTGTGAATTAAAGACGTAGCTATATTTATACGCTTATTAGGCTTATACATATAATAGGAAAGATTCAGAGGTAGATTCATTTGGGGTAGATTCATCTCGCGAAACGTTGCTGTTTGGATCCACGAACGCGTTCTAACGAGACGGGTTTTCTCACGAAAGAGACACGTGGGAAACAATGGGAAGAGAGGCTCTAATTTGAAGGGCACTGAATCAAGCCCTTCTTCCCTTCTTCGACGTTTTCTCCTTGTGGCGATTCTTTACTCCCGTGCGCCGCGTCTTTTCTTCACTCCTTTCCTTTTCCTCTTTTCTCTCCTTTTCCTTGGCCTTTCCCACGACCTTAAAAGAGTTTCGTACTATGAGGGACTGTCGATGGAACATTTATACCGTACAAAGATATCCTCTCCTCTCGATGTCATGTGTATGCCTCGCCAAGAAATGACAGAACAAAAAGGAAAGGAGAGAGAAGGAGAGAGAGTTTATATATAAAAAGAAACAGTGAAAGAGAGATAAAAAAAGAAAAAGGCGAGCAAGAAATAAACAATTTTTGTTGTTTTTTTTTTTTAATAGAAAAAGAAACTTTTAGGTCACCAAATATACGACAACTTGTGAGCTTATTATTATTAGTTTTAATGACAAATTTTTTAATAAATGTAAAGCCTTGGAAGAAAATAATTGTTAAAAATTATGATTAATTAGAAGACTCTTTAGTTGAATAAATTCAGTTTCATACACGAAAAAATATTTGTCAGTTTTACAGATGGGGGAAGATTGTAGTTAAATAGAATTTTAATTTGAAGCTTAGAAAATTACGAGAACATATAATTTTGAAAATTGTAAACGTACGCAAAAATGACAATTTCCCGCGATATTTTCATTAAAATAGTCCACTCGAAATTCATCGGATTTGTCGAAATTAAAGTCGCAAAGGTTGTGTATTAATAAGAAATTCATTTGTATATAATTGTAAAAAAAATCCTAGAAAAGATCCTAAATATCTTTTCCTGGACTATCAAAGAGAGAGATTATTTAAAATCAACCCCGAGGTGCGCACACATCTTTTTCTCTTCCTCTCTGTTCCCTTCTCGGCGGAAGTCTCGATCGCGAGGATCATCGCGCTTTCCGCGATCATGCTCGAGTGACACGAAAATCGAGAAAGTCCCGCGCGGCGATTCCGATGGTCGGGAAGAGAATGGTCCAGAGGGGAGATGGAGGAGACGGAGGAGAGAGGGAAGAACGACGACGCGGTGAACATGGCGGCTCTCCGGAAAGCGAGACGAAGCCGTGCCGAGGTCGCGCGCGGCTGCGCCCGACGATGCCCGTCGTCGTCGACGACGACGGCGACCGCGTGACCGCCGCCGCGACTCTCTCTCTCTCTCTCTCTCTCTCGCCGATCAATACCCGGACGCAAGCGGCGAGCGCCGCGACGCGGAGCGCCGCCGCATCGCCCCCCGCGAACGAAGGATGTTGAATTCGAAAAGTGTTATTCCGCGCGTCTATCTCTGAATGATATGGAAGGGAACGCCTCTCCCACGTGGGTCAGCCACGTGTGCGCTTCCGCTGTCCGCGCGCGCGCTCCGCGCGGATCTTTTGCGCGCGTATATCTCCCCAAAACGTGTTCCCGCGTGTGATTTAGCGCCCCATCCCGGTTTTCCCGGAGTACCCGCTTAACGACGCTCGATTCGTAATCGTTACATGTCTTCGATCGCCTTGCACGTTTGATTATTTTATATGTGTATTGATATCTAATTTAGATTTTAGACCACTGCTACGTCTATACTCGGGAGTGATTTTTATTTCGTAGACTATCAAAGTGTCAATTTGGTAAATGTATATCGACATATATAATTAATGGATATCTTTTTAGTAGGGATTAAGAAGTATTCCAAAACACATTTTTTTTTTTATTTAAAAAGGCGATCAATTTTAGAGAGTTTAATAAATCATTTCTTTGATATTTATAAGAAACATAAAGAGCATGTGCTTTATCATCAATATTTTCTTTTCTTGTTTTCGAACATAGGAAGTCTTATCATAATTTAATCGTAAGTTTAATTTTGTTGGTTTTTAAAGAAGTTTAATCAATGTAAGTAACTTGAAGCTGTTCTTTTCTAAGCTCGTTCCAGTAGAGCGTTATCAGATAGGGTGCAGTTTATTTTGAATCGAAGGATATCCCTGGAAGAAGAAGGGGAGGGGGGTTTCTTATACAACGCG